GTAAATGCAATCTAAGTCATGTTGGAGCAGATCCTGATCTGACTTGTTTCTAATCGCCCGCCATATCTTGACGTCATCGGCGAAAAGCAGGACATTTAAGTAGATAACTCTTGACAGGTCGTTGATAAACACCAGGAATAAGCGTGGTCCCAGCACTGAGTCTTGTGGGACACCACATTCCACTTCCATCGGGTTAGAGCGTGATCCCCTAACGCTTACTTGTAGCTTCTGTTGGTGAAGTACAGGATCGCCGATTCCGTAACTCTGTAGCTGTTGAAGTAGGATGCGGTGATCCAGGCGATCGAAGCTTTGGAGAAGTCCAGATAGATGGCGTCAACTCCGACTGCGTCCTCAGCCACTTCCGTCCAACTACCTCGTGCAATCATTAGGTTGGTGATGCATGACCGCAGTTGACGGAAACCATGCTGCTTCGGTGCCAATATGTTGTATTGATCCAGGTAGTCCATTAGAGCCTCAGCGATGACTGCTTCCATCACCTTCGCGAGCACAGGGAGGTGAGTCACTGGGCGATAGTTTACAGGATCTGGACAGCTAGCACCTTTAAAAATTGGGATGATAATGCCACGCTTCTACATAGTGGGGACTTGTTGTTCATCAAAGCACCTTTGGAAGTAATTTGACCATGGTTCAGTTAGCTTGTTGGCCACAATCTTCAGTGCCTTCGGGCAGATGTTGTCTGCTCGCGGAGAACTATGGTTCCGCAGTGAGAGTAACTTCCTTAGCACGATTGATGGCCTGAAAATTAAATGTGCAAACGGTGGAGTCGGTAATGTGCATGACATTATGGGAAGTGTAGAGGCTGCGATTTCGAAAATTGGAGCGTATTGTAGCCACAAGGCATTAGCTGCTTCTTCGGCGCTTTGTACTCTACCGCCTGTCTTGAAAAGTGGAGGGATTCCATGCTTCACTTTACGAATATTGTTGACATGCCTATACAGCAGTTTGTTGTTTGCTAGGAATTCTTGGGCTAGGCATTGTTGATAAGTTACTTTGTCCTCACGGACAAGTGCAGTGCAATGGTTGTGATGGGTCAGGAAATTGCTCCAAGTTAATCTTGTAGGCACGCCATTCTGCATCCCTTATCGCCAGGCACTTTCGAGTCCTGCTCCTTAGAATTAAAGGCATTTTTGCGGGACGAAGAGGCTTTGTCTCTGATGCTCTGTTGACGATGTCGCTGAGTCTATCAACAAACTCTGTCCAAACTTTGTCAAGTGGACTGTTGTTTGCGAATTCCCAAGCAGATGCGCCGATGAGTTCTTTCAATACGTGATAGCGTGTGATTATATGAGTTGGTTCCGAGTCTTCAGCTGGATACTCTGCATAACACACATAGTTGAACGTTATTACTACATGGTCACTATGACCTAATGACCTATCCATCAATAACTTGTCAACCATGAGCTCTTCATTCATGAGCACCAGGTCCAATATGGACAGTTTGTTTGCTGTCCAGAATCTAGTGGGCCTGGGGATATGATTGTACAAAGGCATATTAGCGATCGGTTCACGCAAGTCTGGTTTGAACCGTTCACTGGGTGATGCCAACACCTCCAGATCGTGTAGATTGAAGTCCCCGGATATGAGAATGTGGATGTACATAATGCGTGTTACTCTGTTCAGCACACGTATCAAGCGGGAATCCGTTTCCGGAGTGAAGATTGGGGGCGGTAAACGACAGTTACTAGACATGCGTCGTTGTGTCTCAGTCGGAGACGGCACCAAAGTCAGTCGGTAACGTGTGTTTTCAAATCATCAACTATTGCACATTGTCGATCACTGCGGTAGAAGAGTAGGACCCCACCACCCCTGCTGGGGCGGTTCTTCCGAATGAGTGACATTCCGGCTATCTCAACCTCAGCATCAGTCACCACTTGGTGTAAGCACTTTTCGGTAATGGAAATTAGGTCTCAAGCATGCGCAACCTGACGTAGCCGAAGTGCAGCAGTTTTACTGAGGAGCCCTTGGGCGTTAGTGTACGTACATGAAAGTTTCTGATTTAAGCAATGTTTCGGAGGTTTTGCAACTCATACGTGAAGATTCGTCGACCAGTGAGAGGCCGGCGACTAATCGTTTTTTCGATGTGCAGTTGGTGAAGGGTTTAACGTCTTATTCATCGTCCGTGTAGTTAGCCACTTGTGTGATGTTCGACGTATAGTTTAAGGTGTCTGGTCAATATCATTTTCCACAGTTTGTATGGGCTCATACGACACATTACTAGTACACTGTTCTTTCAGATGCCATCGCGCCTGGTTCTTTGAGTGACATACCATCTCTAGGAGGCATATCGCTGACTGCCTTCAGCCGAAGCTGAGATGGTAGCTTGCAACGGAACACGTACCAGATTTTCAGCAGCCCTGTTTCTATTTATTTTGACTTAAGGACCATCTTCAACACTCTCGGACCACTTCCTTTGTAGTTCGGTGAAGTACGCTGACTTGACAAGGATTTCGCTAACACAACATTCAAGCAGTGTTTCACGAATGGAACACCATTGTTCTTTATCATTCGTTATGATTTCACGTTCATCACATGCTTCAGTTTCAGGAACCCCGTGAAGAAGTATGCTTCTAGTTGAAGTTTCCATCCGGCAGTCCTCTAAGGTGCGGTTAACTCGATAACGCTCGCTCCATGGGATGTCTGGTAAGATACGGATGGAGCAATGTTCATTTCTGAGACTACCTGTCGACAGTAGTACTGATTCTACTTCAGTGATGGAGTTCAGCACAACACGCAGAAGTCTCGGCTCTCCGAAATGCTTCGAGTTGGGGTGTCGCTTAATGCACACCACTTGCATAGGTTTCAGTACAACTCCTATTAGGTTACTAATAATGTCCCACTGGTTGAGGTCATCCAACTGCCTGCCTCTTATTGACGTCGACTTTGATTCTGGGATATTGGAGCACCATACGCTCAGTACAGGTAGTTGTTTCTTTACATCTTTCGACATGTCGCGGTTAGTGATTGAAGTACTCGGAGATGTACGGCAAGAAATTGCTGGTGCTTGCACTAGGAAAACTCCGCTACGCTCCTCAGTATCCGATGCATTTGGGGATGTTAATTTTAAGTAACGGCTCTTCTTGGTGGCGACCGTAACCCAACTTTTGCTGGTACCGGCTTGCATTATTTCTACGTACTCCGTCGGGAGTTTGAAAGCCGCCTTACGTGTAGTTACTCCGATCGAACTGAGAATCGCATTAGTCAAATGTGAGCCACGTGTGGTACTGGGACCTCTGTTGATGTTCTGGACTCTAGGTGTCCTGTTGTTTACCGCGTTACTACCAGTTCTTCGCGGGATAGGAGCAGCAACCAAGGGGGAGGATTGGGTTGCACAGTCCGCTCTGCTTACTCCCACCGTAGTGATTTTGGTGGTCACCATTCAAACTTGGCTAGTAGCTGGGCATACTTCTGAGATGATAGGAGCACGCTTTTTATCAATGGGATCGGTGTGCTTTCCACACAGAACCATAGAGACTGGTTTGTTTAATAACTTGGGCATCTCGCATGGACAAACTTGCAACAGTTACGGCACAGAAAACCCCCGTTAACATTTTGGAATCTGATCCACATAGGCCTTTAGACTGTGGTACACTGGGCATCGCGCTTGTTGCGAAAATCTTACAAACCTTTTGAATGACTCATGCCCTATGGTAAAAAGTTGTTCTGTTACTGACGTTGTACGTAAGGTCACAGTGTTCACGTTGCAGTTGAGTGCTTGCAGACTGTCCTCTCTGGCGTACCAGTCGAATAGGTCGGCTTGAACGTGGAAGAGAATACACGAGGGTGTGATTGAGAATTTTTTTGGTTAAGCATACGGATCGCGCCGGGTGAATTTGCTTCGAGACATGTGGCTGCTCCAGGCAATGTTGAATTTGAACGAGTGACAGTTCATTCGAAAGCCGTTGAAATGGTCTATCGAGTGAGACCAAACAATGTCTCCGATGGTGGGAGTTAGGCAAATTTTGACGCTTGGGTATCGGCGAAACACTGCCCGGAAGTTCGAATTCAGGGTAAATGTAAAATATACTGGAGTGTATTCGAGATTACATTAGCACAAGGTGGAGCTTTTAAAAGCACGACGAATGAGTATAAATCCAAAGGTGTGCGACAAAATGTCGCTGAATCACAGTGAAAAACCACGAGTGCACATGTGAGCAATTTGCACGCACATTCGCTCAAGGTCACAACTGTGGTGAAGTCACTTAACAGTATTCGATTGCTGCTCTGCACAGACCATATAGGGGAGGATAACCGAGCGTAAACCTGGTCCCTCGTGTCATCAGGATAACATATGATGGGACCATACATGCTAATAAAGTGGTAAACTTACCTCTTCCAAGTTTTAGACGGACAGTCATCAACCGTGGGCTGACGCCACCCCTCGGTCACAAGCTGGCCATTTAAACGGTCAGATAATGCAAATCCAACCCTATGCTCGCATGGTACTGTGGTGATGTTCCCCACCTAGTAGAACGCCTAAACATCACCCGCCTGATGCGGCTTGCCTTGGCCGGTCTGCTGAGTCCCGCTGAGTGCTTTAATAGCGATCCCGTAGAGTGGAGGTGCCAGCACCCCTCTCCCTTTCTCTTTCTCTCTCTCTCTCTCCATATATATATATATATATATATATATATATATATATATATATATATATATATATATATATATATATATATATATATATATAAAATGAGTGTGCCGCACAAGCCCCCATTTGCCTCTATTAGTGACCATGTAAGATGCGATCAGCTACAGTTCAGTAGATGGTAATAGAAATACGCAGCTAAACGTAACGTGTTAAGCTGCTCAAAGTCTTGAGTAATATTATTTTATTAGCTGTCTCCTGATGTTTTCTGGTAAACACAATGGCCACAATGCAGTATTTCGGTTCACCACAGTAACTTATTGTTCTTTCAGATGTCTGTACAGCAGACGTCATTGAGTATAACTTAAAAAACCATATTGCAGAGTGATAAACATACCGTTGATTTCTCTAACGGATTTACGGAGGCGTTGTGCTTTAACAGCAACTCTGCACAATCTAGGTGACCCGCAGCAGCCGCGTAGTGCAGTGGAGTGTGACATCGGTTGTTCTGGGAACCGGCCATGGCACCGCTGTTGAGAAGCAAATGCAACAGGCTAGAATGACCGTGTTTTGATGCGTAGTGGGCTGCAGTGTTTGAAGCGTCATCCAACGAGTTCAGCAACTGTGGGCAAATTGACAGCAGACACGTCGCTATTCTGCGAGTAGAGTGTAAGCGAAACGAAACTTGGCGAAAATTTAACTACAATGTTGTCAACAAAATATTCTCTGTTTAAATTATTTCACAGCGCATCATGTTAAAACAGACGTTGTGTATTAAAAGCATTCATTTTTACCTCAGTGTGATGTACTTCTTTGCATGACTACAAGTGAAATCTAAAGACATAAACAGGAAAGATAACGATAACAGCTACAGACAAAAGCACCGAGTGTTGTGTAGAATGGCCCGACTCGCTTGTCACACTGGGTGAGTATAGTGAAATATGTCAAAATTCTAAAAGTGAAGAGCATTCAGCTGTTTCTAGTGGGGCCTTTAAATCGGTCTTTCCCGCTTAGCTGAACATCTTTTTATCTTGTCCACTGCGTATATATTAACTTCGGAGGCGCATAATGACAACATCACAGTTCAAACTACTCCCAAAATCACAGAGATCGACTTACACATTCTTTCTTGTAAATACTAGGTGGAGATACTGAGTAGGTTACGAGGTTTGTCGCCTGTCGTCAAAAAACTTTGGGCCAGTTGACGCATTTTACGAAAATCATTTTCCGAAACTTCTCTCTGTCGATTGAATAAATAGATCAAGCATTCTGATTGACAATGCGCGATTGTTGCCAAAGAGTGCGGGCCTGTTTACTCGAGTGCCAGCATTGAACTCTTTTCCATTTTATTTAAAAGAGCTTCCACTTCTGATATTGTCATTTTAATGTATAAGCCGTTGGCAATGTAAAATACCGCAAATGCACCCACCGGGTACACAAAGCTTACCATGACGTTGCTTGACTTAAAGCATAGAATTGTTTGTTGGTGGTTCATCTTTGACACATCTGGCCTCATCGTGTTTAGGACCGCTTGGTTTTCTCCTCTGCGAGGAATATTTTTGCTTTGGGCCCACTACACCTCTACATAGCAGGAGACAAAGGGATGTAATCAACCTGTTTTCGCATAAAGCTGTCGCCTGCCAAAATTGTGCGAATAGCAGACAGAAACTTAAGCGTATCGCGCACAGTTTCTTGTTGCATTATGCACACTCACAGGGGATGGTGACAGAAGCAGTAGCATGTCATATTTTCAGCGTAAACCTGTTTATGAGGTTGGTGTTGTGAGAGATCCCCGAGTTCGTTGGAGACTGGTTTGAGGAATTGTTTTAAGCACCAGATGACCACATTGGCACAGCGTTCTGCCCAGTCAGAAAGGTTTGGTTGCAAAGGCATAGAAGTGCTTCGGTAATATAGAGCCTAATGTGCCTTTGAAAATTATTCGGCGAAGCATTATTCTTCATTCGGTTGTGTGAAACAAAAAGTTTAGCTTCCGTCACGATTGTACGGAAAGAAGTGAGTTGCTCTAAAGTACCAGCCTATTTCGTGTGCACCGCTTTTGGTATCTAGTGTGGCATACGACCATACAATTAATGCGGCATTCCCCAAAGTTTTCACCAAGGCAAGGCAATTACGCTGGCACTGCTTCCGTCCCAACACAGAGATCTTCAATACTGAGTGTGGTATCAGCCTTCGAAATGTTCGACGGTTTCTGAGCCCGGGGTTTTCGCTCATTGGATCGACGCAGTAGGTCATTCCATTCGCTATTGTTTTATGCGTGATACTGCTCATCAAAAAGAGCTGGATCTTACAGCTTTTTAAGATCGAAAGTTTGTTTCCTTATGTACAGTGAAGCAGCTGATTTGTCTTATAAGTAAAGCAAGATAAATAAACTTACAGAATAAATTTTATCCTCGATTACGCGTGGCACACCCTTCGAGACATGATCAGGTTATTATGCAGAGGCACCACTGCTTTATTTAAGTGCGAGTGGACTCAGGCCCCTTGAAGTGCAGGTAGGACATATTAGGAAAACTGTCATTGCTAACAGCATACGTACCCTTACACATTTTCACAAATAAATGTGTCCATAGACTTGCACTCACTGGAGGTGACCATATTCAGCCGCGTAGTGTAGTGTGGTACGTCCCCTATCGTCCTTCGCATCAATAGCGGCACCATGTTCAATTAGTAACTGAAGAAGGGACGATGTAAGTTGTATTGGAATGCTAACTTCTTCCGCACATCACATTTTAACTAAGTTTGGTTTGTTAAAATGATTTAGATCTTTTAGACTCTTATTCACAAAGACTTCCTGTTTCAAACCAACGCTGAGACCCATAAAAATGCATGTGAAATTTTGGGCATCGACATAGCCAGCCTTTCATAAGACCGAACAGACTATTACCATTGCTCGGTTGTTTTTAAAGAAGGGGTGACTAGTGGTTGAATGCATCATCATAGGTTGGCGTTTCGCCTTTAAGTTTCGAAGAATTTGAACATCGACTCGGTTATGTGTTAAGATACATATCACGAAATAGAAGACTGGGACAACATAACAGTAAAGCAAAATACTGTATTCTGTCTTTCTAGTCTCAAGAAAAGTAGCAGTCGCTGTTCCGCCGGGGTACTGTGAAAATACTGAGGGCATCCGTAGACGAATGTGCCACTACATGATATTAGCGTTCGCAGTACTTTCTTTTATCCTGGAGCATAAGCGATCTGCGTTCGCATGCAACATGAATCCACAAAACGGGGCTAAAAATCTTATTGTAGAAGTGTACGCTGAATCTTTAAGCAAAATCATGGCAAACTACTGTGAATGATTGATTCTTAATGGAGTTTCTGGTTTGATGTTTTCTGTAAGCCACTGGAAGCACAAACGTCTTCCTGTCAAACACCTTCTTGTCAAACACTTCATTAGCAGATGAGTGTCTTGGTTAATAATAGTAAGCCCATCTTTCGAAGGCTTGGCTTACCTGTAAAATATCCACGCATCCCTTTTCGGCCGCGGTGTGAAGGGGAGTTCTGTCGAAAATGTCTGCAACATGTACCACACTGTCAGCGGTCGGACGTCCCAGAAATAACTGGAAGAGTGAGCATGAATTACTGTACAATAACGCAAGACTTATTCACAAAATTCCCCACTCAAATTGGCTACCGTGATCTGTTTCTGCGATATGTGTCAAGTAAGTTGACTACCCGTAACTGTAGCAGAAATAAATCCTTTATTAGAAGCCCATAAGTGGTAGGATCAGTGGATTGCGCTAGGCCTATACTCGTGGCTTCATATTCTGTAGATGTCACTACATAAGTCAAGTGCAAGATTAACGAATGCTATACTTTGTAGGCTGCTCAAAGTAATACGGACTCACAAACGCCAGTGGTACCTAATGTTCTTCTAGATAAATGGTGGTTAGGGTTGTCAAGCAGTGAAAACAGTAACGCATTGTTTTAAGTGGCGGGAAATTTATTGGGTTATTGTGAACATCTATCGCAACGAGACTGGACAATGACGTGGTGCGATAGTTTGTGTACCCCTGTGACCCATTGATCTACGTTCGGTGGCACTTTCAAGTGTCTTCAGAGTCACTCATACCAGATAGATCAATGGTTAGGGGTCAGTCTAACTCAATCTCACAATCACCCCGTTGCGTTGCGGGCAAGCTATTTAGCCAAATGATAAGACAACTAAGACAACTGCGTACTTGGGCTTGAGCAACTGGGTAGTATCATACACACTGACAAAACTATGGACTGTTCAACTGCAGTATCGCTTTCAGCAGATTTGCTCCGGTTATTCACTCACCTTCACAGGCCACCTGTTCAGTCGTTAGCAAGCAGTATTATCTGTTACCAAATGATTCTAGTTTCCATGATTCTACTCCGGATGGTTTCGTCGACATCCAGAGATCACGCCCAGTCGCACTCCTTTAGCCCCGGTCTCCGTTCCGTCTGGCGTGCTTCAATGTACGTACACTCATGCAGATCGGCAGCACGCTGGTCTTGCGCTCACCCTGGAAACCCTCACCATAAATATTGCTGTCTTTCCGAAATGCGCTTCCAAGATCCCAGTGATGTGATTGAGTTGAGATCTTCCACCGACCACTAGGCCATATTTCACCTACGTCCATCTGGTAGTGCAGAAGCAGCTGCGCCAGGTTTGGCCGTCGTTGATGTAACGCGAAGTAGCAAAGCCGAGGCTGCACTGCTGGACGGGTTCGCGATTAATAGCCGACTGTGTGCAGTTCGGCTTTGGTGATCATGCAAGCTAAACCGACGTCGTGAGAACAGACGCAACTTGTTTGTGATCTCAGCTTACGCTCAAACTGACTTCAGTTCCGACTCTGTCAAGGACGATTTCTACAGTGAAGTTCATCAGCTCTTATACAGAGACTACAATCCGACATTGCTGTCCTTGCTAATGGTCTCAAGGCACGGTCGGTCGTCTGCTGGCATGCGAAAGTCACCTTGGTGGTCACCATGCGCTCGATGATAGCTGTTCAGATAATGGAGACTTTCACACTGTGCTAAGAGAATCCTCTGTATTAAACCAGCACCAGCTTTCGGCATTCGAGGAAAGGTTCCGCTACTTGGCGATCATTCTCTGCGTCTCACCCGTGGTCTCATATTGAGGATATTGCAATCAAACTTAGATGTACGGCATTGCGGATCCATGTGGTCCACTTTTCTTGACTCAGACCATGCTCTTGTCCGCGCGAACATCTGCATGAGTTCCGGGAAGTGCCCGAAAAGGAAGCACTGTAAGGTAGACACAAATAAACTATATACTGTCTCGGTCCAGCAGAGATACCAAGATTCCCTGGCTGATTCACTCGGCTGCAACCCACACCAATATCTTGATGAAAACTGGACGTTCATGCAGAGAACCATGGTCTCGTCCGGACAATCAATCTGTAGCCTTATTAATCAACCTATACAAGTCTGGATCTCCACGCGCTGTTTGGATTGATTTGTCTGCCGCAAGAATACTCAGCGGAGTCTAATGATGATGAAGTGAGTCGTTCTGTCAATCGTCAGCTCAAACAAAGCCTACGCAGTGGCTGTGAAGCCTGTGTGCTTCGGAAGCCAGTGTGCTTCGGAAATGGAGGCGGCTGCCCTCTCTGCCAATACTCTCAAGCTCTTCCAGCTCATTCGATCCACTGGCAACAGGAAGCGTGGTGTCAGAGTGACTATATGCGAAGCGGATGGTTCGGCGATTGCCAACTGACAGAGACGCTTAGACCGATGGACCAAACATTTGCATTCCAAGTTCGTTTGGACCTCACCGACCACTTAAATCCCCTGCGAACGTAGCTGCCAGTTCGGGGTCGTCTCAGTTGATCTAACCAGCGAAGCGGAAGTTTGTCTTGCGATTTGACACCTACGACGATTCAAGGCTGCCGGCTGAGACGGACGTCCTCCAGAGCGGTTCAAATATGGAGACTCAGTTATCATTAATCAGCTAACCTCATTGTTCTCCAAAATCTGGCATGAAGAAAAAGTGTCTTCTTCCTGGGGCGAGTCAGTTATTGTCCCCGTTTTAAGAACAGTGCTCGAGCTTCCTGTACCAGTCACCGGGGTTTAATCTTATTTCGGTTGCCTCCAAACTATCGGCATCTATTTTATACCGCAGACTATCTCCTATTTGCGAATCGGAGTACCGCGAAGAACAAGCTGGCTTCCGATCTGGCTGCGGATCTGTGGATCAACTAAGCACACACCCTCAAATCCTGGAACACCGCCACCTTTACTAGAGACCCATCATCTTTGCATTCATGGACATCCCTGCCGCATTCGACTCGGTTGATCGATCGATGCTATGGCTTTATTTGCTAAGAAACGGTGTCTCAGAAAAATACACTGCTATCCCACCCTCACTGTATTTTCACATCTCTGGCAGAGTGAGAGTGTATGGCAGGCTTTCGCCGTCCTTCGCTGTTAATAGCGGTGAACGACAAGACTGTCAAATGTCCCCGTTCCTCTTCAATTTTGCGACTGAAGACATCCACTCGAGAGCTCCAGACGGCTACCAAAAGCTTGGTATATAGCTTGGTATGTATACGGGCAAGCGTACAACCTACTTAGACTATGCCGATGATATCGCCTTACTTGGCGAGGACTCACGGAACTTGCAAACTATTCTAGACCGCTTGGCGATTGACGCATCTAGGTACAGAATGTGCTTTGCTCCGTCGAAGCTTAACCAGTTGCTTCAGGATTGGCACTCAACTGTTCCCGTGCTTGATATCGAAGGTGCGCAGCTTGAAAAAGTGGACAACTTTGTCTACCTTGGTAACTGTGTGTCTGCTAGTGGTACCGCTAGAAGGACATTTTATCTTCGTCTCGCCAAAGCTCGGTAGGCGTTTGTCAACCTGTAGCAGTTGTGGCGTCGCCAGGATATCTCCCTCTTGGTAAAGAGTCGTATTTACAATGCCGTTGCTATATGGAAGCGAGTTATGGTCAGTTCGCGTACCCGACATGCGCCGGCTCTCAGCCTTCGGCAACGGGTGCTTGAGGAGGATTGCTCGTGTGTGGTGGCAACAACACATTTGCAACAGTGAAGTCAGGCGTCGAGAATGCGAGTATTCCCTTCAACAAGCTGGTTTTGCTGCGGCAGTTAAGATGGTTCGGTAATGTCCTGCGTATGACAGCTGAGCGTTTGCCCTATCGCACTCTGTTTCTCGTGCATGACTCAACTGGAAGAGACCACGTAGTGGTCCACCATCCACCTAGCGAGAGCAAAAGAAATCGTTGAGTTAATCTCTTGCCATCATTGGATCCACATATCTGCCTGGTTGGGGACCAAAGGTAGAGGAGTGTCGATGACAGAAAACAATGCAGGGTATGGCTGGTAATCGAAACCGGTGGAGGATCTGTGTATATAACTGCTTAGATTTGGATGCTTAATGCTTAAGGATTAAAATCGACAAATAAAAGCC